ATTGCCTGCATTGTTGGATAAGGTTACTTAACTAAGTTTAAATAAAAAAATAAAAAAAAGTAAAATGGGATTCCCTTTACATTTATAAGTCATCCTGAGGGAGGCACGTGCTTCCCCAAAATTTGCAGCAATGATCAGCTTGGCTGACATTTTGAATGAAAAAAAAAAAAGCTAAAATATTATCACTCTTGTTTACTTTTTAGTAGCTGCTGCTCAAGAAATTAATCAAGAATCATCAGAGCATAGCAATGTGATGATGAGGATGAGTCAAAAGTTCAACTGGGCTTTTGTTGATGAAGCGTTCATGTGGCACACTAGGAGGTCTTCTGCATTAAGTGTTTGCATCTTTGGAACGTCTGTTTCAAGTTTTACAAAACTCTTAGCCGTTGTGGTCATGTTTGTCGTTTGCTCACATATATACCTTTGTGACATACAAAAATAAACTCGACAAGGACTACTTTGGTGCATCAACATCAGATTTCCCAACGTTGCTCATGAATTTTTAAGAAATAGCTGTGCACCCCCATGATCTGGTGATGACTGCTGAATGTCCTCGTGTTACAAAGTGTGCATAAAAAAGTAACTAAGAAATAAACAAGAATGCAACATTTTATTGCTTTTCTTGTTCACAGTGGCAGCTAAACTGAACTTCATCTTCTGTTTGTGTAGTTTGGGCCTCATTGGCTAGGATTGCACATGTACGCTATATATTTCACTGACTTCCTGATATACAGTTATCGTACACTAAAGTTGGTAGCAGTCCAATTACTGCTGAGATTTATCGGCCTGTTCCAAGCCAACAGATGGAAAACCCTGGATACACAGAACAATGGACTCTAAATAATCCAACTGAGCCATTTTTCAGGCATCCCTGAAAATTAGTCCATGTGCAGACAAATACCAGAACACACTGTCCAGTGGGTTTGTTGGTTATAAATCATAATCCGACTCAGGTCAGGAGCACGTCTGGAAATGTTAAAACTTGTGATGTTGGAAAACAACAGATTCTCTGATTATGGTTCCATCTTTTTTAGAAGTAGGTCAGGGAGGGGAATAAAAGCAGACTTCTTGTGTTTGCTGGAGGTAATCTATGATCCCTCTGCTTATTTCCAACGGTGTGGAATACAGCTGCGAGAGCTTCATCCAACGACTTTTGTCTGCCTCCATGCAACAAAATGATCAGCATTTCTAAACTTAATCCAACTTGTTTATTATAACATGCATATAGGCTGGAGGTTTAAAATTTATTTATTTTATTTAACCCTTCGGTAGTCTCATTGAGTCACGAGAACTCATTTTCAAGATAGGCCTGTTTGGGAGCAGATGGTGGGGGTTAAGGGCCTTGCTCAAGGGCCTAGAGTGGGGCAAATGAGGGTGGAGGCAGGTGGTGTTTCACCATTTCCACCCACATTTTGAATTTGTCAGTCTGGGGAGTTGAACCTGCAACTTTCTGATCACAGGCCTATCTTCTCTAACCTAGTCTGCACCATACCAAAAAGTATGGTAATAAGTGTTTAAGTACTCCAGCTGCATGACATCAAGTTATAGACTCCATTTACCAAAAAAAAAAAGGAATGTTGGCATAAGAATATCCTGATGTATGCTCAATAATAATAATAAGAAATATTAATAAGCCTTTAGGGTGCTGAGGAAAATGTGATTTAAGTAAAAACTGACAATAGTTTTAGTGTAAAACCTAAGGAGAAAAAAAAGATATTTAAACAGTCTTCATGTCCAAAAACTGCATGTGAAGTCTGTGCTGCTGGTAAAGGTTATTCTGGCTGACACACCCACGCATCTTTTCATTAAACAAGTTTTATGAGAAAACAAGATGGTTTCAAAAACCTGAACAAGTCTCCCCCAAAATGGAGGTGGTACTAAATTATATAAATGATAGTTACATTAAAAAAATATGCTTTTGTTTGTTTTGTTATTTTTACCACAGGGTTTGCTTGTTTACAGAGTACCGTAACAGATGGACTTTAAAACGCACCAGTCTCTAAGCAGCACTAATTCATTATAAGATAAATCATAATTTTGTACATAAATAAGACGCTCTGGTTATTTAGCCGTGGTCATCCACCGTCCATTGTCAGGAACTGTGTCCCCAGTCTGCTCCAGCTAGGGCTTTAACAGACTACTCGAGTAATCAACAGGTCGATTCCTGGCACGTCTATCGAGTTTTTAAATTTCACGTCGAGTATTCGCAGTGACGTCATTGTGTCACGTGAGCCGCACCGGGCTACTAGTAGAAGCTACCAAATGTGAGCCCATCTCTCTGTCTTCTCTGGAGCAGGTAATGTGCAGCATGAAGCCATCTGGTTCCCCCTTTGATGTGCCCCCCCCTCGACTACTAAAGGAAGTTTTTCCTACCCTGGGTCCTTTTATTCTCACTATTCTGAATAGCAGTTTATCCTCAGGTGTGGTGCCAAAAACTTTTAAACATGCTGCTGTCCAGCCCCTCCTGAAAAAACCTAACCTTGACCCCTCAGTCATGTCCAACTTCCGGCCTGTCTCCAGACTCCCATTCACCTCTAAACTACTGGTAAAAATTGTGGAGTCTCAGTTGAAACAGTTTTTGGGGGATCACGCTATCCTAGAGTTATTCCAATCTGGCTTCAAATCTCTCCATAGCACTGAAACTGCTCTACTGAAGGTTTTTAATGACATTTTCATATCCACAGGCGCAGGTGATTCTGTGCTGCTTGTCCTATTGGACCTTACATCTGCTTTTGACACCATCGACCACAACATCCTCATTTCTAGACTGGAGCAGTGGGTGGGCATCATAGGGTCAGCCCTTAAATGGTTTGGGTCCTACCTCTCTGACAGAACCTTCTGTGTCAATATCAAAGATTTTAGTTCGGCATCGACAGCGCTCCAGTGGGGGGTACCGCAGGGGTCCATCCTCGGTCCCCTTCTCTTTTCTTTATACCTGCTGCCACTAGGTGCTATTTTCCGCAAACACAACATACCCCTTCCATTTCTACGCCGATGATTGCCAAATTTACTTCCCCCTGAGGCACAGAGGCATACGCTCTATTCAGCCTCTTCTTGACTGCCTGGTTGACATCCGGGACTGGATGGCTTTAAACTTCTTAAGCTTCAATGAGAAGAAGTCTGAAGTCATGCTGTTCCATCCCAGTGGCTCACTCATGAACCATGACATTGACCTTTTCTCTCTAGCCCCGCTAGAGAAACAAAAGGTCACTAATCAGGTGGTGATAATGGACCCGTCCTTAAAACTAAACAGTCACGTAAACATGATGGTCAAATCCTGTTTTTTTCAGCTGAGACGGCTGTCTAAGCTGAAGCCTATACTCTCCAAAAAGAACCTTGAGACAGTGATCCACGCCTTCATAACATCTAGGCTTGATTACTGCAATTCACTTCTGTTTGGAATCAGTCAGTCCTCCATAGCTCGTCTGCAACTGGTCCAAAATGCTGCAGCCCGATTTTTAACTGGTACAGGCTATAGAGAGCACATCACGCCAGTTTTGGCCTCCCTGCACTGGCTACCCATTCACCTTGGGATCCAATTCAAAATTCTCATGTATGTTTTTAAATCACTGAACAGTTCCGCCCCATCCTATCTCACTGATCTTCTGCAGCCATATGTCCCACCGCGCTCTCTGAGGTCAGCAGACCAGATGCTTCTCTCAGTCCCAGAAACCCGTCGTAAGCTCAGAGGTGACAGAGCTTTCTCTGTTGCAGGTCCATGACTGTGGAATGAGTTGCCACTGAGTGTCCGGCAGGCTCCCACACTCTCAGTCTTTAAGTCTCGCTTGAAGACCCACTTCTATTCTCTTGCCTTTAACACGGTGTGATTTGTTTTGGTCCTGTCTGTACTCTACACTGTTGGCCATTTTAGTTAGCTTCTGCTGCTATTTGTATCTGTATTTTTATTTTATGTTTTCCTGTCCGCTGTGCATGTTTGTTTTCTTTTGTACAGCACTTTGGTTGGCCTTGTTGCTGTTTTAAGTGCTCTATAAATAAATTGGTATGGTATGGTATGGTATGGTATGGTATGGTAAATGTATTCCTCCAAGCAGACAGATGGAGCGGAGCAGGTCCAGTCTTTGCAAACAGGCAGAAATGCATCAGTGGTTTGGAAATATTTCACTAAAGATGAATCTTCCGGTTCAACTACCGTAAGGAAACAGAAAATGACTCAACTTCCTGACTGCTTGGAGCTCATTGCGAACCGGTGTTACACAATATTCTGTGACCACCTTATATTGTGACCGTAGGGGGCGGTGTTGCGTGCACTGTTGCAGGTCACAGAATATGGTGGAACACAGGGTCCAATGGACCGATCTGACCTTGTTTCACAAACAAAAAGCAAAAAATATTAATCTCTAAAATTAAACCTAATGCGCAACACCACGGGTGTTGTTCCTCTCTGCCGTACTCACAGGTTTATAGTTACTACCATGTAAACATCATCTTAATATAACTTGCAGTTTGGGCTGCAGCATGCCTTTCATTTACGGGAAGAAAAAAATAAGACTGAAAAATGGAAGAGTTTCAATAGGGTTTCACGCTTTGCTTAGCAGTTTGGTAAGGTCCACTTGTGATGAGGTCAAGCATACCTGGTTCAGCAAAGCACCCGACCACCTGTGTCTTAGTAACATTTAGAGCTGTTTACCAAAACTGTTTATTCTCTGAAAATAGTTTTTTGTAGTACCTTAATTCAAACTGTTAAACTAAGTGCTTACAAGTTTCAGTGGTGTTGTTACAAACTTTCACTTGTAGTTCCAACTTCCAGCCTTGCTGACCTGAAACATTGCTTTATCTGACATTTCAGTCATTTGCTCCAAAGTAGATGAACACAGCTACTGAGAGGTGTAGCGTTCTTGAAGGGTACCGGGTAGGAATTTTTAAAATAATTAACAAAAAGCAGATCCTTGAAATTTGAGTTCTTTGACAGTATTTGTACAGTTTTCAGTACTACACTAGTGACTCCTATTTTCACAGCCTCTCTTTCATCCTTTTATCAGGAGGTTGGATCGAATGCGTCGGGAGATGTCAGCTGACTCTGTCACCAGGACACCAGAACCTGAACTGTCCCTGCCATCTACCCCTCCTCCCTGGACCATGGAGCCACCTCCATCCTATGACATGGTGATGAACAGCCAGGAGAACAGCGAGCAGCTTTAACCCCTGATAGACATCCAAAATTCACAGCAGTGCCTGTTGTATTGTCGAGCTCACTGCAGCAAGTCTTTGTGCCTTAAGACTGACAATGTTGGGAATGAGCAAGAATCAAGATTGTCTTTTGTTCAGGCATCCCATGCAAATCTAAAATGAAATGAAATGGTTATTTCAGTCAAAAGAAAAGCTATTTTAGAAAATTGGTCTAAACGTTTTCACATTTATCATAAAGTACCTCTTATCCACAAAGCTGTTGTTGGTTAAGTTTAATATCGTGCGTGAATTACTGCTGAATACACGTTTTGCTTTTGGTTCCATTAGGGATGCAACGTCACTATTTCACTCCAGATCATCCATTCATTCATAGTAACCAATTTGTCCTGGTCACAGGGAGTCAGTAATTTGACAGTACAGACTCTCTCTGACCCTCTGAACTCTCAGAAGTGGAGATCAAAGTTGAAGGTGAAGATCGCTTAGTTTAGAATCATTAATCAATCATACATATATTTTTGTACTGAAGGAGAAAAATATCCCACAGAAACACTTCCAGCTAAATATCAAACTTGTGACCTTCTTGCTGTGAGAGAATAGGGCTGTCAACTAAACTACCATGTTGCCCAGATAATTGAGTATTAATGTAACTAATTTATTATTTTCACAGTTTTATTTTTAAAAGGCATATCTTGCACATTTGTCTGATAATTGTCTCTCAAATGCATTACAGAGCTAATGCACTCATAATTAAATAGTTAAACATTCATCAAGCCCTCACAAATCAAATGGAAACAGTACAAATATGCAATATAATGGATCAAAAATTGCTTAATTTTCTGTTGCAACAATAAAATGTTTTTTCTACTTTTTCTGATTTGTGGTATAACATTTTTCTATTGTTAAACATATTTAAATAAAAAAATGTTATGCGTGTAGAGAAATATAGTTTCAATATGTTGAAGCTAATTTCACAAATTTTTACAATTTAGATTTTTTTTCTGTATTGAGTTTTGTTTACTGACATTGCTATAGTGGTGCCATTCTGAGTAGAATGTTGACGTTTAGTTGTTTTTTTTTCTCTCACAAAAAAGTGAAAGTGCTATGTGTTGTCATCATCACGTTTCTATACGATGATGAAATTAGTTATCTGCATTTAACCCATCACGTGACATCCCAGGGCAGCTATGCAAGGGAACAGTTAGGGATTAGGTGTCTTGTTCAAGGACACCATGATATGTGAGCTTGGTGGGGAGTTGAACCTACGACTTTCTGGTTCCAAGTCATCTGCCCTATCTGTACTCCCATAGCCACCATAAAAAAGCTCATGCTAAGTAATTATGATCCTTGGAGCATGTAGGTGCGCCTCCCTGACTGACCTCTGACCCTTAGGTTGACCAGACTCCCCGTGAACTGTTTTCTTTAACGTTATTTTTGACTTTAATGTCTGTTTTCCACATTCACTGTCCTTGGACTCAGAGTCAGCTACAGTCGGACTAATGTTTCCTCTTTTCTTTTATGATTTTATGAAAGAAAAAACAAAATCATTAATGAAGTTAGTTTTAATTGATTGACAGGTATGGACATGAATGATACTGATAATTGTTTACAATTATTACAATTAAATCATGTAAAATATTATATGTTGTATATTATGATAAGAATTCCATGTAACTAAAAATTCAGGGTGAACCAAGTTGTTGAATATCCATAAAGTGTGCTAACTTATTGGTCAGTAATGTGACTTGGTGCTCCCAAGACAAGTAAATAATAATAAAACAAGTAAGTAAGTAGTGGAGTGGAGAAAAACACCCTTATTTTCCCTCTCACTCCGGCAATATTTAGTGGCGCCCCGTGTGAGGACCTTAAGCTCAAATTAAAGAGTTTAGATCTTTTGAAGTGGGCTCTGTGAGAAGGTTATAAACAATTATTATCTTACTTGTTTTAGATATGTTTGGAAAACGAGTTTAAATCTTACTGGCTTGACGAGCTAACAGTTAGTCTAAGGGTGGCGAGAGTGGACTGCCATGGTACAACAATTAGTTTGAAAACTTTCACAGCTGTTCATGAGAACACAATTATGTGAACATTTATTACTAATTTTGTGCTATACAATTTTTTGCAGAAAACTATGACTAATTGCATTTGAAAATATCTAAATGACTTGTTCAAGCAGTTTATGCGAATGCTATATTTTTAACCTTTATACCACCATCGACTTTGCATTACATGGTTATTCTGGCAGGAGTAGTATTATAACCAGGGCTTAATTTGAGCCGGATCATACCAGAACAGGATCTAGGAACTCTTATTTTGACAGGGTGCATTCCGGTAACTGTTTGCTTGGATCTGGTAACTTTCAGGCTTACTAATAATAAAGTTATGAACAAGTATGACTGCCTTGAATGAATAAAACTTGCATTGGATATGTAAACTGAAAATAAATAATATAAATTATTTTAAACATAACAACCACTTAAGAGTTTCTAAATATCACATACTATCTGCCCCTTCAAGTAATATTTCCATCTCTACCCTTAAAAAAATCTCTGCCCCTAAAAGAGTGGTGGGGGTGAGTGCCGATCTAACCAGGCAAGAGCCCACAGGCAGCAGTCATGAACAGACGGAGGAGGCGCCTGGAGGTTTCACATGAGTAGTCAGTCAACAATGAGCAGGACAGTGAATTCAGCAAAGCAGAGTTGACTTGGAACTGTCAAGTTGTGGGTGGGGTGGGGGGGGGCGGTGCCCACTGTTTGGGTTCTGGCATCAATAGGTTACAAATTAAGCCCTGGTTAGACTGTTGAAAATATCCCAGGCTGCACCAGAAGAGCAACAAAAGACTGTTCTTATTTGCACAGGGAAACAGTTATATATTTTATGTAAATATTTATGTAAGCAGAAACTGAAAGCAGTGCAAAGCAATATAAAATAATGTTCTTATGAACAACTGAGAAATGTTTGAGATTAAAGTTGTTTTAAAGTGATCCACATTCACTTATCGTTCTGATCAGGAATACACTCTGTTTCTACAAACTAAAGTAGTTCAAAGAGCTATCTACAGCAGGTAAGATAGTCATTATTCATAACTCCTCTGCAAAACCATTTAAAAGATCTGAACATTTCCTTTAAAATATATTTATATTTATATTATAAATTTAACATCACTGATGGCAGCTTGGCAGTGGCTTCAAAACAGCTTTGATCTTAAACACCTGACACTTTCTATAGTTGTTTTTCATCTAAATTAGATTTTTACCTTGAACATTAAATCTGGTTTAGACATATATAGTCAATGCCTAAATGAAATTTTGTACCTGGATTTTGAGACAATCAAAAAATTAGAAGTAATCCACTGGGTGTTTGGAAAAGCATTTGTTTTTGCTTTGACGTCCAGCAACCTTTGATTTTAGATCGAATCTACTCCAAGCAGGAAATAAAGGTTACTGGTAAGCGCTGTTCATTCATATTTCTTTAATTTAAAGATTTCTTGATCTTGAAGAAAACAAAAGATTTTTTAAAAAGTGATTATTCAAGCCTTGTTTTATTAAAGACCAACCATACTTGAAGCATATCACCCACCACTTTTCATACCACAGTTTAAGACTAAGATGATGAGAAATGACAAAGTTATATCCATTTTGGTCATACCTTGAAATAAACTATGCACATACTCTGTGTCACTCTGAATGACTCTCAGCTACTACCACATTAAGTTTTTGCTCAATATCTGTAAAATCAACCAAGACAAAGCTAGATTGCAGTTGTCGATACAGAACCATGATTACTTTCTGACAGGTTCTTTAAAACCTGTCCAGTGGTTCATAATTTGCTAATAGTGCAATAGGATAGAACTTCATTACCACACTAATATGTATGTCAATATCCGTCAAACTGACTGAATTATAACTCTTTTTGTGTTGTCTAAGGCTAGCTGGCTGCGGTAGCCATTTTAAATTAGGTTAACTCCAATTGTTAATCTGTTTTTCACTTTTATGAAAAAGTTCTTGGATCCATCTATCTGTGTTGGCCTCTGGCCTCCTGTAAACACCTCATGAGGGTATTTTATGAGCCTGTTTGAATTCATGTGATGGATAACTAAGGCTATGGGGTCTTAGTTGTGTTAGAAGTTTCTTGCAGTGGGGCAGAGGCAGGACAGCCGGCCTGGGACCCAAAAGCCCCAGGCTCGATTCCCAGCCATTCCCACATGTCGAGGTGTCTGAGCAAGACACCCAATCTCCAGTTGCTCCCCGGGCACCCACATAGCTGCCCACTGCTCCACCTGGGTGCATTCCAGGTGCAATGGGTTAAATGCAGAGACTTGCCATTGTGTGGGAACATACAATAACGACAACACACAGAACTTATCAAAAAGCCTGAAAGGATGCTAACAGAGAGGCCTCATCACTGACTCACTGTTTACTCGTAGTCTTCTTGTGACATTATGATGAATAAATAACTTTCTGAGGCTGAAATGCTCGTACAGACACAGGCTTGTTTATGTGAAAAAGGAGAAACTCCCTCAGGAGTGGGAGAAATTCCTACAAACAAATCAAACAGTAAGTTGAGTACTGCCCAGAAGCTGAGTTGTAAAAGTGTTTTTTTTTTTTTGCCAGTAACCTAAAGCAAGGTGACCTATCAAACACACACACACACACACGTGCAATTTTATACCTGACCTGAGAAGGTTGTAATGAGCAGCAGACCGGAACCAATTTCTCCGCCCTCACCTTCACACACAAGCGGACACAAAATCTTTCCGTCACAGCCTTGAGTTCAGAGAAACACAGCAGAGGCTGCGGTCACCATGGTGGAGGGGAAACCGTATCGGTATGGGCTGATCGTGACAGGACTGTGTGTGGTGGCCGTTGGCCTCTTCATCATGATGCAGGAGAGGCCACACATCTATGTCACCGTATGCTTTTTGGGTGCCACCATGGTGTGTGTGGGGACTGTGTGGAGCCTCTGCCAGTGCTATCCTAAGGTAAATCCTGAGTGTGTGACTGTGAAGGTTTAAGAAGTAGACTTGTTAATAAAAAGTGTGTATTTATTAGGTCATTGTGACGCCTGTGCTTCAGAGGGAAAGCCTGGAGGATTTATTGTATTCTGCAGCCGAAGCTAAAGATGAAAGGTATACTCTACACACACAACTCCCCCCCACCCCCCACACCACCACCACCACCACTACAGACACACACAGACATACACACCAGTCGATCCCTGTGGTCTGTGTGTCTATCTCAAGACTGCTGAGTGTCCATCATCTAATCTAGACATGGTGACAGCAGCAGTGTGTAGGGGGAGGGAAGAAACGGACTCATTTTATCCTCTGCAAATCTTTACTCAAAGGAAAGTGCTCCTCCAGAGTGGATTACATGACAAAAATAAGGAGATAATGGATTAAGAGTTGTGACCGAGGAGGGTTAGATTAGCTGGTAACACGAGAGCAGAAAACTAACAATTGCCTGATGGAATCACGAGTCAGATTTTATTTTAAATTCGACAGCAGCTCAAAACACAAGACACTCGTGCAGGAGCTGCTTGATTGCACGAGAGAGCAGCTGCCTGATAAAGACGTGCATGCTCAGCACAGTTCTTCGGGAGAAAAGCATGAGAAAACGAGGTCACAATGCTGGAACCAAACTTCTATTTTCGTCCCTTCTTGTTTGATTTTATTTCAGGAGCGCAGAGGCCCTGCCAGGTTTCTGTGACCGAAAGTTGAGTGGTGGGGTGGTTGATCCTGAGGCAACGAAGAATCAGTGCCACAGCTGTCCCACACTGCATCTGGCCTGAGGGACAGACACCATGAGCCAAGTCAACTCACCACCATGCTGCTTGAAAGCAAGGACATTTTTTATGGATTCAATTTTTTAAAATTACTGTTAATGATGATATCATTCACATGATACAAACTGAATGTGGTTTATTTTGGTCATGTATCAAACAGTTCCTAATCATTTGATGCCAGAGGAAAATAAAGCTGAATATGTTTTACATGCTACTCACAGAAGATGGTGCTATTTGCTACAATCTATTAAGAAGGAGCTTTTTTAGCTGAAGCACAGCAGCTGATCAAATAATTCAAATCAAAGTAGTTGCAACATCTTCTTTTAGCTGGAAGTCTTGCAGGAAACAGATTAATATACATAGTGAAAAACCATCAGATCCTACAGTTCCCATAATGCAGCTGATCGTCTCACTCTGAATGGTAAATGTTTTAAGTTATGAGCATTTACCAGAATTCAAATATTTGGTCTAACCTTCATTCTTTGCCAGAATGAAAAACAAACCTTTCTAAAAACATTTGGTTAAAATTCTTGCCATCAAAGTTTTACCTAAAGGAAAGTAGATAAGTTGTTTTTTTTTAAATCCATCCATTATTTTTACTGGCCGCTTCCTTTCTGGCTTCTGGTTTATGGGAAGAAACCAGACTACCCAGAGGAAAACCCATATGCAAAAAGGGAGAACATGCAAATTCCAAGAAAGGTCCCCATGCAGCCAGGATTCGATCCTGCAGCTGAGAGGCAACAGCTCTACCAACTGCACCACCGTGCCGCCCTAATTCTTATAATAAAGACAAAAATTAGAAGTTGGAAAGAATTATTATTATTACCTCTAAGTATAATTTGCCATTTGATATTTTTTCTTGCAGCAAACTCTCATAACAACTAACTGACCTGTAACTTGGGTGCACCATTATAACCTGATTATTAATAGGAAACACTACCACAAACAACAAATTATTTAGCATTTGGAGAATTTATTTACAGTTTTGATCGAAGTGAGAACTTTTTTCTTCTTTTGGCTGTAGCCTTCCTCAAGGATGGCCACAGCGATCAAACCCGCACAAAAATTTGACTGTTGTCATGCCAGATGCTCTTCCACAACCACCCACCACCGAGCTACCCCAGCCCTCTGTGTGGAGTAGAGGGCTGCCATAGGGTGCCCAGGGGAGCAGGAGGGGGTTAAGGGTACAGACAAATGAGGATGGAGGCAGGTGGGTGCTTCAGCTTTCTCACTGACATTCTGACATAATAGTCATGGGATTCAAACCAGCAACATACCAATCACAGGCTCACCTTCTCTAAACTCTGTGCCCCTAGGACAAATAAAATTACATAAATGCTTAAAATGTTGCTCAGGCTTAAGTGGAACTGTTTGTATAAGAAGTACAGAGGACTGGTGCCACAGCCCTGAGGAGCACCTGCACTAACGGATTAAATGTTAAAAGAGCATTTGTTTTATTTTTTTTAAGAATGCATCTACTTGATAAAAAACAAGGATTTGCAGTGATTAAATCATTTTTTTTAAGCGGATGATGTTTAATTTAAAACAAAAAGCAAAAGATGTGCTCTAGAATTTGAGGTGCGTTCAAGTCATCTGATCTCTTACAAGCAAACTGCAGTGAATCAATCTAAAAGGACCTAACTTTAAAACCATTTCCAGACAGCAGAAGTTTATGTTCAACACTGAAAAGCACTGCTGTGCACTCACATGTGTTTAAATCATATTCTCAAAACAACATATTGTTCACAGAAGAAGTTCCAGACAGGAAATGATTGACATGCAACAATCTGAGTGAAACATGACTCCTTCACAGTAAGAGCTGTTTGAAAAGGACCACAATCATTCGATGCACAAGAGGTGGCGTGAGTCGCAGAAACGTCACCAGTCCCCGCCTTCAATTATAACAATCAATTGTTGGATGCTTTTTTTTTTGGGGGGGGGGGGAACATCTGTACTTGGAGGCTGAGGGCACGCGCGGCAGCTGGAGATACAAGAGAGACCCGTTTGGGCAAACTCTCATCAGCAGGGTTCATTTACATAGTTATCTGGACCAGTCCGTCCGGACCTCTTCACTGGTACCAGCTGCAGAGAAAAGGTGAGCAGAACCATGCGCGCCTGGATTGGCTGGGCGCTCTGCTTGTGCGCATCTTCCGCGGCCGTGAGAGTCCAGGACGACCCCGAGGACGACGAGATGATCTTGGATCTGATCCGAGACGACGGGACTCAGCCCGAAACCGGAGCCGAACCCACCGTGGAGTTCCTCAAGTGCAACAAGGTACAAGAGTCATTTTTGTCCCGATTATATGAAGCGCATCAGTCCAAAGTCATTGAAATCCTCCGAATTATTAAACATTACTAAAGAGATGTTAATGTGTAATCATTTTCCTAAAACACCTACTTTTCATTTATTTTTTATTAACATATAAAAGCATCAAGGTGCAAATCATCACAATGACATTTCAGACTTCATGCAGCATGCGCAGCTCACCTGTAGCTCACATGAACTGTTTCTTCCCTGCATGTGCTACAGGCAGCATGGCGCATGCCCGGTCAGTACCTGGTCATACTGCACCAGGGGACGCACGAGTCTCAGGTCCAGAGGACCATAAGGAGGCTGCAAGCCAAAGCGGCCAGGAGAGGCTACCTGGTGGAGATCCTGCAGACCTACTCTGGAGCTCTGCAAGGCTTCCTGGTCAAAATGAGTCAAGACGTCCTTCACTTGGTAAAAGCATGCTTAAATGCACATAAAATATATATCTTTAAACAGTGCAAGGAAAAAAGTTATCAAGATGTAAGGGTTAATTCTGTCTCAAGCAGCAGTGTTTGTGAGAAACTGCTTTAAATCACCCTAAAAACGGACAGAAAGTGAAGTAAGATGATGTTGCAGCTTCTTACAAGCTTAACTAACATTCTGCAGCAGATGATTCCTGTTGCATCACGAGGCACAAATAATATGGAATTACAACAATAAGGCAGGAGGGAATAAAAACATGCTGATCTTTTTGCTTCCAGTAAATGTGGCTAAGACCATTAAAAATCAGGAACTTGGATATGAAGGTCTTTAAAGGGGGGGGGGGGGGGGGCTGTGTATTTAGGAGCTTGTCAGCCTAAAAATGAAAGAAAAAGTGAAAATTTGAGAGAAAATACTTTTTTTCATTTTCATTAAAAACAAAAAAAAAGTTTTGTAGGCTCAATCATCCAGGTAGATAACAGCAAAAATGGCTAAATCATTTCATCTGGACCTGTTTCTTTAAGTGAAGAAATGTTTCGTCCCACATCCAGAGGACTTCGTCAGTCTGTGGCCTGCTAACCAGATCTGTCCCATAAGTAGCCTTCACTGCTGTGTTTCAAGCCAACCTCTTGTTGGAATCTCTTTTCATTTGAAACTTTTCACCTCATACTTATCTGAAAAATCGTACAGTCGCAAGTGTAAAATGTCTCCATGTTTGTTTACGTAGCGTAAAAATAGTCAACAATCTAAAGACAGTCCACTTCTTTTTAAATGTAGAGTTTTATGTATCAAGACAAAATACAAAATTACCAGGTTCTAAAATTATTTAAATCTAACCTAGAGTGAACAAAAACACAACAGATTCCACCACCTTGTATATGAGCCAAAAACACTAAGGCCTGCTGCTGATCGAAAGGATTGATTAACTGATCGCCACTGGTTTGATCACCTCAGGAGTTTTATCTGCTCTGGATGTTACAGGTGTGTGTTGTTAACACAACGGCAATGCAGAAAAACGTCAGCACTGACCTTGGAAAAACGATGTTTGCTCTCCTTGAACCTGGGAAGGGTAAAAAGTCATTTTCAAACAAGTTAGATTTTGTCATTCTACAGATGGAAAGATTATTCACGAGTGTGAAACCTTTAAGACAGCTGCCAATCCTCCCACAAAACTTCTGGAAAAATGTGTTTAGGATAGATGAGACCAAAGGTGTTGGCCCGGACTAAACACAGCATATGTGAAACACCTCATCCCTTCTGTCCAGCATGCAGTTAATGATTTGGGCTTGTTATGCAGCCACGGAACCATGTGAGTCCATTTCTACCTGAAGTTTGGACCAAACTGAAACATGATGAAACAGAACAATGATCCCAAGCACATCTTGAACAAATTTACCACAAAATGTCTGAAAAAGAACAGAACCAACGTGTTGTACCAACCCAATTAAAGTCCACACTTCATCCTGGCTGAAATGCTGTGCTTTAAGAGAACTGTGGATTAATAAATGCATGCAAATCTGACCTGCAGCAACACTGTAAAGAGGAGTGGGTTAAAATTCCTTCACAACCACTTGAGAGACAAATAAAGGTTCATGTTTCTTTATTGTCATTCACATCACATGTGGTACATGAGGTCGACCTTGTGTACTCAAGTTGCACCCAAAAATAGCAACAAAAAAAAAGAATATAAAGTATAAAAATAAACAGTATACAAGGATCTCTACACTAAACACTAATAATGTAAAACATATGGTGTATTAAGCAGCAGCCTGAACATGAGTCTGTGAGCAGATGGGTATGAATACAGCAGTTTAAAGGCAACAAATCAGCAGCATGGATAATCAGCAGCACAGATAAAGTCACATATAATTAAAGTGACATTACAGTGATTTTTCTGGTTAGAGATTCATGAGTCTTAACAGCTTAGCGTATAAGCTATTTCTCAGTCTAGTGGTTCTACACTTAATGCTCCTTAACCTCCTTCCTGAGGAGAGCTGGGCAAAAAGTGTGTGTGCTGGGTAAGTGGGGTCCTTCATGATGCAGGTGGCTCTCTTCCTGCATCTAGTGGTGTAGATGTCTGTGATGGTGGGGAGGCTGACTCCAACAGACTTCTTTCTGTGCAGCCTTCACCACTCTCTGCAGAGCAATAAAGTCAAGAGAGAAATAAAGTCAAACAGAAAACATTACATCAAGTTATGTATTTCTGTGTTGGAATATGTGGAGGACTTAATTTTTCACTCACAGCTTTTCCATTTTGTCTTTGTTTATGTTTACAAAATACTGACATGGTGGAAATGTTGTGTATTGTTTGTTCACTTCAGGTTAGATTTGAATAATTTTAGACTGGCAACAATCTCATAATCTTTATTATTTCCAATATGTAAAACCCTAGAACTAAAGGAGTATGGACTTTCTCTTTTTCATGACAGCATATGCAACTATTCCAGTTACTTAAAATGCTTATATGTTACCCATTAGAGTCTTTTCTTCAACAAATTAGCAGACATGACATTTATAACTCAAATCTGTCTGCCTGTTTTTAAGATGAGATCATTTGATGATACAATAGTCCAGGCGGACTGATTATTTCTCTGCACCTGTCTTCTTTGGTTTGCTCCTATCAGAGCATGTCACTCTCACACTGCAGGTTTACTTGTGGTTCATAGAGTTTCCAAAAGTAGAATGAGAGGCACAACTTTCAGTTATCAGGCTCCTCTATTGAGGAAGCAACTTCCAGTTTCTGTTCGTGAGGCTGACACATTGTCTACTTTTAAGATTAGGCTTAAATCAGGATTAGGTTTAGTGGGGGAGTGATGGTGCAGAGGTTAGAGAGGGTAGGCCTGTGATCAGAGGGTCGCCAGTCAACCCCCGTCTCAACTCCCCAGACCAACAACATCAAATTGTGGGTGGAAAAGATGAAAAATCCCACATCTGCCTCCGCCCTCATTTGCCCCAATCTGGGCCCATTCCCCCCTACCCCCACCAGCCGCCCCCGGGCACCCTAGATGGCAGCCCACTGCCTCATATGTGTGCTCACATGTGCAATGGGAAAAATGAAGATAATTAATTTCCCCATTTGAGGAATAAAAGAGTACAATAAAAAAAAGTCTATCCTTTTTGATAAATCCTATAGTTAGGGTTGGCTTGGGTTTCCTGAGCTTTCCCTTAGTTATGCTGCTACAAGGTTAGACCTAGACATCTTAGACTGCTGGAGGACAAATTTACCACATTTACTCACTCTGCTGCTGTCTTTACTTGCTCCACTCTACTTTTTTATATTTGTTAATGTTTCTATCTTAACATGTTTTTTTTTCATCCCTCCTATAGAAATTAAACCTGGGCCTGCCGTTCTGTTAGTCTGTTTCTCCTTTCTGTCCTCTCAAACCAAGCCAGTCAAAGCAGATGACCACTCACCCTGAGCCTGGTTCTGCTGGACGTTTCTTCCTGTTAAAAGGGAGTTTTTCCTTTCCACTGTTGCTTTTGTGCTTGCTCAGGATGGGAGACAGTGAAAAAGTGAAGATTCAACACAATCTGCTGGCGTCCTTTGATACATAACTTTACTAATTGTTTTTTTATAATAATGCGTTATTTGTTGTCACCATTGTATGTTCCCATACAACGGTCAAATGGGATCTCTGAATTTAACCCATCCACCACCAGGTGGTGCAGTGGGCAGCTATTGAAAGTGCCCAGGGAGCATTTGGGGATAAGGCGTGCTGCTCAGAGACACCATGAGATGTGCAATGACTGGGGATCGAATCTGGGACTTTAGGGTTCCTGAGTCGGCTGCCCTGTCTCTACATCATCTCAGCCCCCATATGTATGTGAATATTTCTGTTCAGTGCCCTGAGACAACTTCAGTTGTGACTTGGCACTATATAAATAAACTGAATTGAATTGAATTTGGTTGTGTTTCTGACAGGTATTGAAGCTCCCTCACGTCCTCTACGTAGAGGAGGACTCCTCCATCTTTGCTCAGAGCGCCCCTTGGAACCTGCAGCGGTTACTGCAACCTCACGGTGAGGCTTCTGTAAACGGATCCTACTGGCCTCCGAGTGAGTCTGTCAGCAACACACACTGTTTTCTCTTTGTCAAAATGCAGAAAAATCAAAATCTTTCAATTGTTTAAACATTTTTAAATAATTTGTACTGTTTTGTTAATACTCAGCCAACTCCCCCACTGGCGATGTTCAGAGAGAGACTTTTGTTGAAAAAGACACGAGCACTTCCTGAAAAGCTGTTCTCTTTAATAATATGTATATAAATATTCAGAGCAGGTACTAAAATCTTTGTGTATGAAATAACCTTGACGTTTCAGAGGTGCCAGCGTAACAATTTTTATCACCATGGTGACATTTACCTACGTCTCATTTACCTATTAGTAAATGAGTTGTAAAATGTTTTGCTCTTCAAACCTCCCACTAGGATCTGATGAGTTTTAGTTAAAGCTTAAATGACAAGAGTAAGTTTAGACCCGACCTTAACTCTGTCAGGTTATTTGTAAATGCAGTTTTTAAACTCCAAGTCATATTTTATTGCTTGTACATTTATAATACTCATGCACTGTTCTGTGCAGATGATGGAGGGATGGCGGAGGTCTATCTGATGGATGGCAGTGTTCAGAGCTCCCACAGGGAGGTTGAAGGCCGAGTGCTCATCACAGACTTCACGAACGTCCCTGAGGAGGATGGGGTCAGAGTTCATAGGCAGGTTTGTGATCAGCATTTCAGTGACAAAGCTGTCATGTTGCTCTGCCTCTAAGATGTTCAGCTTCCTCTGCTCTTTTAAAATGTATTTTTACAGGCCAGTCAATGTGACAGTCATGGCACACACTTGGCGGGTGTGGTGACAGGATCAGATTCAGGCGTTGCTCGAGGTGCGGGGGTGAACCTGGTCCGTGTGCTCAACTGTCAGGGTAAAGGGACAGTGTCAGGAGCTCTAGCAGGTATGAACTGAAGATAAACACATCCAATAGTGGGAACCGCTGAGTTCGGAATGACTGCTGAAATGTGATCAAGAAGATAAAACTGAGTTGCTTAAGTTAAAGGAAGCAGAACATAAAAACCAAAAGTAGAAAACACTAAATCAAAAATAAAAAAAACACTAGCTAATATTAGAAAAACTCTAGCTAAAAGTAGCAAAAGACTAGCTGAAATCTGTAAATGGTTAGATAAAAGGAAGCTAAAAGTAGCACAACGCTAGCTAAATGTAGAAATAGATAAGCTACAAGCAACAAATGTTTAGCTAGGTAGCAAATGGAAAGCTAAAAGTAGCAAAAATGTTGACGAAGGTAGCAAAAGGCTAGCTAAAAGTAGTGCTGAGATATCTAAAAGTAGCATAACAGGGCTTAATTTCATTTGTAAACCAATCGATGCTGGAACGCAAATAGTGGACAGGCCGGCAGAGGGAGGGGGTGGGGGGTCGGGGAGTCCGCCCCATAAACATTTTGAAAAAAATAGATGTGGTTTCCTGCATTTAGGTGTATTTTAACAGGTTGTTAAACATCTACGTTTATGTATATTTGTAAACACTCCACTTCTGTCAAGCTCCCCCCCAACTTTTACTTGACGGAACTGGGGCTTGAGGTATTAGTAAGTGGAAGTGGGGCTCGGAAGCGAGCCCCACTTACTTGAAGATGCAGATTGTATGCTGTTGTGTTTAAAATTAGTGCTCATTTAATTATTTTCAGTTTACATATCCAATATAAGTTTTATTTGTTCAAGGCAGTCATCCGCAACTTCATTATTAGCAAGTTTGAGAGTTACCGGGTCCAAGCCAGATCCTAGCAAACAGTCACCAAAAGCACCCTTTCAAAGTAAGAGAAGTCGCAGATTCTGTTCCGGCAGGATCTGGCTCAAGTTAAGCACTGTAGCAGAAGGTTAGTCAAGAGTAGCAAAAGGTTAGCTAAAAACTAAAAGCAGCAAATCAGTAACCAAAACTTTAAAGTAGCACAAGGCTAGCTAAAAGTAATAACAGTATAGCACATAGCTAAAAAGAAACAGAACAATAGATAACTAAAAGTCGCATAAGAAGCCAAAATCAGACTATGGGGTGGTTTTAGAGTTGAACCCAATGATACAGGCTGACCGCAAAAAACTCGGGTGGTAAAAATAAATAACTATTTATTAACAAAACAAACAAAAAGTGTTGACGTAGCAGCAAAACTCACTTCTTTCAGCAGACATGCAGTAAACACAAGGAGGTAGACAAGACATCACCAGACAATACTCAGACAACGAATAACACACGGACACAGACTTATATACAGAGACTAACGAGACAAGTGCCAGGAACTGAGCAGCATCACAAGTGTAGGGAGATGGGAAGTGATTAACAGAGGGAGAGCAGGACAAAAACACAACACAAGAGGACACCATCTTCACAGTACCTTCCCCCCGAAGGACATCCCCTGATGTCTTCAAAATTCCACACCCCAAAACTTGGGTGGGAGGGGTGGGGAACTGCAAGGATGGAGAGCACAAGGGAAAACAAAAGGAAAAAAAACAAACAACCTGACAGGGTACACCAGGGGACTAGATACAAAACACACAGAACGAACACAAAAAGTTCAGGTGGATGGCCGGGCGACCGTTCATCGCTGGGGCAGAGTTCAAGGGAATGGTCGGGAGGCTGCCCATCACAGGACCACAGTTCAGGGAAGCAGCCAGAAGACCATCCAGCATGTGGCAACAATTCCAGGGGGTGGCTGGGATGCCGTCCAGCACACTGAAGCAATTCAGGTGGATAGCTGATGGAGAGGGACATCCTGAGGGACACCGACCACCCACCATGAGGAAAGAGAATCGGAGGAACTAGAAGTTTGGCAGCTGGCATAGAGACCCGGCAGACTGCAGCTGTCATTGAGACCAGGGAGGCTGCAGATGATGCAGGGACCAGAGAGACTGCAGCTGTTGCAGAAACTGCAACAGGGGGCATAGCCACTTCAGAAACTGCAGCGGAGGCGTAGCCACTTCAGAACTGTAGTAGGGGGCGTAGCCATTTCAGAAACTGCAGTGGGGTGTAGCCACTTCAGAAACTGCAGCAGGGGACGTAGCCACTTCAGAAACTGCAGAAGGAAGCATAGCCACTTCAGAAACTGCAGCAGGGGTCGTAGCCACTTCTAGAACCGAAGGAGGCATGTAACCTTCTCATCGAGGCATGGAACCCTCTCGTTGGGGTATGGAACCCTCTCGTCATGGAACCCTCTCATCATGGAACCCTCTTGTCATGGAACCCTCTCATCATGGAACCCTCTCATCATGGAACCCTCTCATCATGGAATACTCTCAACATGGAACCCTCTCGTAAAGGAACCCTCTCATCGAGGTGTGGAACCCCTCAGTGAGGCATGGAATCCTCTTGAGGCGTTGAACCCTCATGAGGCATGGGACCCTCTTGTCAAGATGTGGGACCCTCATGAGGCATGGGTCCCACTTGTCGAGGTGTGGGACCCTCATGAGGCATGGGTCCCACTTGTCGAGGTGTGGGACCCTCTCAGTGAGGCATGGGACCCTCATGAGGTGTGGGAACCTCTGCAGACCCGGGACCCTCATGAGACGTGAGACACTTATGAGGTGTGGAACCCTCTCGTTGAGGCGTGGGACCCTCATGAGGAATGGGATCCTCTGCAGACTCAGGACCCTCATGAGACGTGAGACCCTCTGCAGATGTGGGACCCTCATGAGGCGTGAGATCCTCTGCAGATTTGGGGCCCTCATGAGCCTTGGTACCCTCTGATGCTTACGTGAGGACCTCTGAAGAATCGGGCAACGAGAAAAGGTGAGAGGTGTCCTCATGGGCCCTCTTAAAGACGTAGGAAACTGGTGGGTAGCCGACACTTGCCGAGGCACAGGAGGAAGATGACCGTAATGGAAACACTGATGGCTCAGAAGGGTTAGAGATGGCAGAATCCTCTCAGCGATAGACATAGTTCTGTGGTAATGAAGGTCTGATTTGTGTGAGGCTGAGGAAAACAGTTTTTGAAGTTGTTTATTCATTGACTAGAGATCACTGGGGGAAATCTCAATAGCATCTAGATAATCGAGGAGAGCGAGGTTGAGTAATTCTAGACTCAGCTGTTCTCTCAGCTGGGCAGCACTCAGCTGCTCTCTCAACTGATCAGGATATGGCTGCTTTCTCAGCTGATCAGGTGAAGCTACTTCAGGTGAGCAAGAGCTCGCCTGCTTTCCCGACGAGCGAGGGGTCAGATGCTTTCCCCCCTGCAAAGTTTTCCACCACTCCTCTGGCTGTACGTGGAACAACTCGGGAGCAACAAGTTTAGCAGAGGAGTTGGATGCATCCTCTTGGACTCTTATGGAATGCAGGGAACAGGTGGGTCGTGACCGCTGACACCTGCCGCGGAACATGAAAGTATGCTGACGTCAGAGCTCTCTGGAGGTTCAGTGGACTGGTTCTGTTTCTGACGTTGGCCTCTTTGATGACGGTGACAAAAATAATTGCGGAGGGGGACAGTGTGAAGAGCTGATTGTTCCGACGACTCATGTGACAAAACTGGACTCGCTTGGGCTCGGAGCAGGAGGCGGTAGGAAATAAGCGTGTAGCATGCATCTCTCCTCAAAAACCTCCATCAGAATCTCCTTCATACTTGGAAAGTCATACAGTCGGGGGAGGCTAAAAAACTCATCCATTATGTCCTCCGTGGCGGACCACCTTGCTCCCAGATCGCAGGAGGTGGAAACCATATCCACATAATGATGTGTAACCTTGCAAAGCTGCTGGTAAGCCTTTGGTGCCAGCCCCGCAAGGAATGGACAATCTGCTGTGTTTTCTTTAGGTACGGACATTCTGTCGGATTGGGATGGTTTTAGAATTGAACCCAATGGTGCAGGCCGCAGACAACTCAGGTGGTAAAAATCAATAATTATGTATTAACAAAATGAACAAAAAGGGCAGACGTGGTAGGAAAACACTTTTTTCGACAGACATGTAGTAAACGTGAGAAGCTAGACGAGACATCACCAGACAGTGCCCAGACAAGGAATAACACATGGAAGCAGGCTTATATACAGAGACTAACAAAACAAGTGCTGACACCTGCGTCGACTCCCAGAGGTGTAGGGAGGGAGACAGGGAGTAATTAACAGAGGGACAGCAGGACAGAAACACAATACAAGAGGGCACCATCCTCATAAGTACGCTAAAGTAGAAGTCAAAACACAATGTTTTTTAAAGAATTGATGAGATCTAAAGTTAAATGTTTGGAAAATCATAAAAGTTAATAAAACCAAAAGTCATGTCAGCCATGTGCTGAATGACATGAAGATTTATATGAATGGCTACAACAACACAAAGTATGCAGAAGTAGTTAAATTACAAAAAACATATAAAAGAAAAAGCAGTGACTCAATAAGATCTGAACAAAGACGTGACAAAAGATTTTGTATGGTTGATGTGATCTTTTTATGGTATAGTGGAACCAAATGAGAACTTCTTTCAATTGTTTTCTTCCTTCAGGCATGGAGTATATTCGGGCCACTCTCCAGGCCCGCCAGGTGGATGCTGCAGTCGTTCTGCTGCCTTTCATCGCTGGCTTTAGCCGCTCGTTGAATGCGGCATGCAGAAACATAGTGGCTCGAGGAACTGTGGTCATCGCTGCTGCAGGGAACCACAGAGATGATGCCTGCCTCTACTCTCCTGCTTCAGAGCCAGAGGTGAAACAAACACATCTGAACTGCCTTCACACACAGAGCAGACAGCAATCCATCCATCCATCCATTTTCTTTACCCGCTTATTCCATTTTGGGTCACGGGGGTCACTGGTGCCCATGTCCAGCAATCACTGTGCGAGGGGCGGGGTACACCCTGGACGGGTCGCAAGTCCATCACAGGGCCACATAGAGACAAACAACACAAACAACCATTTACTCTCTCACTCACACCTAGGAACAATTTAGAGTTACCAATCAGCCTAACATGCATGTTTTTGGTCTGTGGGAGGAAACCGGAGTACCCGGAGAAAACCCACGCATGCATGGAGAGAACATGCAAACTCCACCCAGAAAGACCCCTGGACCGGGGTTTGAACCAAGGACCTGCTCGTTGAGAGGCAGCAGCTCTACCAGTTGCGCCACCGTGCTGCCAGACAGCAATTCAACATTTTTCAGTCAGGTCATCTGGACAGTTTCTTTTTTTTTGTGCTGAAACATTTCGCCTTTGATCCGGAAGGCTTCATCAGTCAAGGAAACACACGATACAACTGATTCTTCCCCCAATAGCTTACTCCAAAGTTGAACAAACCAGTTACGTTGGTGTTAAGATGGTCTCCTCCCATTTCTGTCAAAAGTGCTGGAAAAAGCAGTTGCTGCTCAGCTGCAGATCCACCTACAACAACACTCCCTGTATGAGAAGTTTCAGTCTGGCTTCCATGCAGCTCACAGTAATGAGACCGCATTGCTGAGAGTCACCATTGATGTCCTCATGGCTGCTGACACTGGTTCTCCCTCCCTCCTTGTTCTCCTTGACCTCACTGCAGCTTTCGACACTGTGGACCATAGTATCCTCCTCCACCGTCTTCATATGGAGGTCGGTCTCTGTGGCACTGCCCTGGACTGGTTTAAATCTTTCCTCTCCAATAGGCTGGAATGTGTTAGTCTTGGCAATGCCAAATCCCAGACTGTGTGTCTCCTGTGGTGTCCCTCAAGGGTCAGTTCTAGGGCCCCTGCTATTTTCCCTTTACATGCTGCCTTTAGGTCAAATTATTAATCAGTACAACATTTCTTTTCACTGTTATGCCGACGATACACAGCTTTACATCAGGACTGGAGCATCATCTTCACCATTGTCATCTCCATCTTCACTCGCTGCCCTCTCTACCTGCCTGGAGGAGATAAGAGCATGGATGAATCAGAACGTTCTTCAGTTAAACTGCTCCAAAACAGAGGTCATACTGATTGGCACCCCTCACCAGGTTCAAACCTCAACTATAACGACTATTTCCTTTTCTGGACAAGACATCCCCCTCTCCACCTCTGTTACAAATCTTGGAATAAAAATGGACTCTCATCTTATATTTGAAAATCACATTAAGCATCTGTTTAAAACCTGTTTCTTCCATCTTCGAAATATCTCCAAACTTCGTCCATCTCTCACTTTTGCTGATGCAGAGAAACTCGTTCATGCCTTTGTCTCCTCCAGGCTCGACTTCTGCAGCTCCCTGTTTACTGGAATACCCGGCAAAAACCTTCAGAAGCTTCAATATATTCAAAACAGTGCAGCCAGGATCTTATTTAGAGCTCGTAAATTTGAACATAACCTCCATTGGCTTCCTGTCACCTACAGAATTCAGTACAACATTGCTCTCATTTGCCATCAATGTTTATATGGAAATTCACCAGATTATCTGAAGGACCTTCTTGCTCCATATTCATCCACCCGGTCCCTACGATCACAGAACAGTAATCTCCTCCACCTTCCACAAACTAAATTAAGGACCATGGGAGATCGGGAATTCTGTGTGGCTGCCCCCCACCTCTGGAACTCCCTCCCTGACTATCTGAGAGCTCCACAATCATTGACTGACTTTAAAAAAGGCTTAAAGACTTTTCTTTTTAAGCAAGCCTATTCTGCCTCCACATGATTGTATCATTGATTTTAGTTGATTTTATCATTGATTTTAGTTGATTTTATCATTGATTTTAGTTGATTTTATCATTGATTTTAGTTGCACTCTATAGCACTTTGAGATTTTTGTTAATGAAAAGTGCGTTACAAATTAAATTCATTATTATTATTATTGTCTCTTTGGCAGACAGCAAACTCTATGAAAGCCGGGCAATCCAACTACCAGGGTCTGTGTTAGGTATTTTGTGCTTATTTGCTTAAAAAAAGGTGTTTTAATTTTAAACCTGTTTTGTGTCACAGGTCATTACAGTTGGGGCAGTGAACTCAGCAGACCAGCTCATGTCACAGGGAGCAGGCGGAACAAACTTTGGTCGCTGCGTTGACCTGTTTGCACCTGGTGATGACATTGTCAGTGCCAGCAGTGACTGTAGCACCTGCTTCACCTCCCGCAGTGGAACCTCACAGGCTGCTGCACATGTTGCTGGTACAACACCACACCAACACAATGGAACCCCACCCCCCCACCCCACACACACACACACACACACACAGATAGTCAAATATGCAAACCTTGTATCTTTCTCCAAACATTCAAGATCAATTCAATCCATTCAAAATGGCAGCCACAGCTAAGCACTAAGCAACTTAGCTATCACAAAAATGACTTTAGCTCAGTTAATTTCACAGGTATCGACTAAAGATTTGGCGTGGTAGTAGAAAAGAGTCATCTCCAACTTTTGTTCTGAGCTCCAAACGATTGCATTCAATTCAATTCAATTCAATTCAAAAATACTTTATTAATCCCAAAGGGAAATTATTTGTTGTTATAACTCGTTATCCTCATTTCATTAAGAGTTGTTATAGATACTGATGGCTGTAGACAGGAAGGATCTCTTGTAAAGGTCCATCCCACAGTGGATCCTAAGAAACTGGCTGCAGATGCCGTCCGATCCGTCCACCCAGACTCGGCTGGCCTCTCGGTTCCCCCAGGCTGTAGGACCGCCTGAATGCCGGGCAGAACTCCTCCCAGAACGATGGCCACTCCTCCCAGCAGTCTGCCGAGCTCCTCATCGCTGCAGACAGCCAACTGTAGGTGCTGAGGGACGATCCTGTCCTTCTGCTGTCATGACCCATGTTTCCTGCTAGTTTCAGGATCTCAGTGGTCAGGCACTCGAGCACAGCTGGCAGGTAGATGAGAATGCATCCACAGAACATCCTTTTCAACTCATTTGAGATTTGGGGCTGTAGTTGAGATATTATTTGAGCTTTTGAGATGTTAATCAGCTGCTGTTGATTGTAGAAAAATGCCTTGTTGCCATGGTTACGCATCATAACAAATGTCCAAAACTAAAAAAGTTTCTGTAAAAATCCTTCCAGCTGCACAGCATCTGATACCAGAGGAAACAATCATCCAAAAATGTGATTTACATCCAAAAAAAAAAGAGGAATTAAAGTTTCCAAAAGCAAAATCTCAGAATGAAACAGAGCTGCTCCAACATGCAGCCACCTTGAGCGGCGCAATTTTAGAACTCATGAGACATATTTTAAAACATTTAAATTAAGCATTGTAGTCAAGTCAACTATGTTTGTCTGTTGGCTATCTCATGAACTACTAGACAAGATTTAATAAAACGTTCAGAAAATAATCAGTTGATATACATCTGTAACATTAATATTTGAATCCAAAACAATTTTATATGGCTGCCTCAGACTGCTGATCTTGGGAAACACATTAATGGTTATTATTCAGTCAGTTTCACTTGTACAAGAGTTGTTCACAAGTGCTACTTATTGGTTAAGACAAATTCTCCTCATTGCCAAATTTACTGATATTGAGTTAGAATTTGGTGTGATAGTAACAGAAACTCATCACAAACACATACCTTAAGTTGTACACACTGCTCAAAATCTTTACGTAACATTTAGTACTAACTGTTAGCATTAAACCTGGTAAAATATTTCATAAATCACAGGACAGATTTTGATAAATCTCTCAAAAAGTAATCGGTGGATCTACCTCTGGAACTTGTTAACTTTTGAAGTCAACTTAATTTAAGATAGCCATCAGATAATTAATGTAAGGTAATACAGAAATGGCAAACTCAGAGATGTTTTGGTGCAGTAGTAGCTGAGCAACCAACTACACAAGATTTTAGTTTAAGTGAAATTTGAACAAAGAGTCTTGTAGATCCTGCTAAGAGTTTCAGATTTTAATACGGCATTGTCAGAATGTCTGTCTGGGCTATCCCCTTTTGATTGACACCTCGTTTGACTAATTGGGTTGATCTTTCCAAAGCCAATAATATCCACGAGTTTAATGTCATCTGAAAGAACTCAGTTCATTTGATTGGCCAGTCCTGTGGGAGAGTGGTGGAGCAGAGGGCGAGCCTGTGATTGGAAAGTCGCCTGTTCAACTCCCTGAGCCGACAACATCAAAATGTGGGTGGAAAAGGTGAAGCGCCCATACCTGCCTCCACCCTCATTTGCCCCATTCTGGGCCCTTGAGCAAGGCCCTTAACCCCCACCATTTGCTCCCCTGCGCGCCCTAGATAGCAGCTCTCTGATCCACACAGAGGGCTGTGGTAGCTCGGTGGACTGTGGTTGCATCAGGAAGGGCATCCGGCGTAAAAACAACTGCCAAGTCTTCGTGTACGTTAGTTCGCTGTGGTGACCCCTGAAGAAGGGAGCAGTCAAAAGAAAACAAAATGTTTTGATTGTCTAGTCCAGACTTTCATCCTTCTATGCAACATAAAGAAACAAGAGAAAAAAAATCAGGTAAGAAATTATGTTTGATTTTTGTGTGTTACAACTTAAATAATTTTGACTGCTGAGTTAAAAACTCAGAGTGTTACCTTTACAGTCACACCATCTCTTTTCATTTGCTCCAAAGGGTTCAAGACCAGCATCTAATGTAATTTGGATACACTTTTTCCAGTTTTAGGCATAAAGAGGGTGAAACTCTGACATAAAAAGCAACATGCGATATGGATTGTTACGGCTTATATTTGCTGTGTCCAGGTATAGCAGCAGTTATCCTCTCCGCCAACAACAATGCATCGCCGGTGCAAGTCCTGCACACACTGCTTCATTACTCCATCAGGAACATGATCAACTTCCTGCCTCTGTCTGAAACACATCGCCTCACCACTCCAAACCTGGTGGCAGCCATGCCCTCAACCATCAATCCAACATTAAGTCAGCGGCACACCTCTTAAACAATACACACGTAGAGTATCTTTGCGACGGTATGAGTTTATTTATTTCTGCATACAGATGAGGAGCTTATGTGCCGCTTGGTGTGGTCAGAGAGGTCGAAGCTCTCAAACACTGACCGGGTAACGAGCCACTGCCGTGCCGGGGAGGAAATGATGGGCTGCAGCAGCTACGCTCCTGATGGCATTCGCGTGGGAGAAACCATCACCGTGAGTTAATTCAGATCTAAACTTTGATCCAAACAAAGACAAGATGTTAAATAAACTTCTATCTGTGTGTGTGTGTGTGTGTGTGCAGGCGAGCAGCGGACACATGGAGTGTGTTGCTTACAATGGTGCAGCCGGTAACGGAGTGTACGCCATGGCTCGGTGCTGTGTGAAAGCTGGTCTGCAGTGCCAGGCCCGAGCTAGTCCTGAGCCTGGGAAGGATGCTCAGTGTGCTGACCCACAGCACCTCCTCACAGGTGGGGCACATGTCTGCATATAGATGCAAAAGCATCAGTCCAGCTTGTTTCACATCCTGGATAAAAACTATTTAGGCCTTTTTTTAATTGGTAAGAATTATAAAAAATATGTTGCTCGATTCAGATTGATCATTAATAGGAAGCTACAACTATCTGTTGGTCAAGAGACTTCTCTAACATAGCTGAAAGAAATAAACAGGAGGTTCTGAATGTTTTCATTGAGTTCAAAACAATTCTTGGCATATTTTCATTTATTCATTTTATGACTGCTGGAGTGAAGCATTAGCAGCCCCTCAAACTATAACAGGCGCAAGTGGGTAGAAAATGTTTGGATGGATGGAAGAATTATTAATTTACTTGTAAAAAAAAATTAAAAAAAATTCTAAAAGTCCGCCCCTCATAATTACTCTTCTTAAACAGACTAAGGACAATGCCATGTATAGAACAAAATCCTAACCTCAAATTTCCCCCCTGGGATTAATAATCAATCAATCAATCAATCAATCAATCAATCAATCAATCAATCAATCTATCTATCTATCTATCTATCTATCTATCTATCTATCTATCTATC